GTCACCGTCGCGTCGCGTTTCTTTTCCTCAAGTTCGCCGATTCGTTTGTGCGATCTCTTCGATAGTGTCGTCAGTGACGCGGAAGTTTGAAATAATGTTGACATTGAGAGGTACGTAGGTTGTTTAGAAATAGAACTAAGTAGCCTAGTAAATTGCGTGGGATAATTCGAACACTCGTTTCGATATGATGTAAATATTGACTCGTTAACTCATCGTGGAGTTTTCAAGACTTTCCAACTTTTCCAATGTTTCTCAATTAAAAGATGAAATTAGCATGTAGGTAATGGCGACAACCTAACTGTGTATTTAATTTATATTTTCAAGTGACGAATTTTCAAGTGACGGCATCAACACAATTACTAACTCCTTAAGATCCACCTCTGTAATATTACGCGAAAAATTTTATATATACGTTGGAATAATAGGACAAAAATGAATGTCTCTTTTTTAATAAATTTCTTAAAATTCAATTTAACGCCTTAAGGCGTTAATTTAAAGTTACACAAACTGTGTGGGACTGTAACAGCGTTTAATGATCCAGTTGAGGGGTTAAGTAAATCTACCCTCTAGTAATAAAGTAAAATAAAGTGAGCTGAAAGAAAGAAAATTAATGATTAAATGAAATAAATTTCGTTAAATAAATCAACCCTCGAATAAAATGAAATTAAATGAAATCAAAGGAAAGTAAAATTAATTTCGCGGAAGAATGCGAAGTGCATATATGCGAACGCACAATTTCGCGAAGGATGAACGTCATCCAGCGTGGAAAGTAAGTAAAGATACTCGAGAAAATCACGCATAATAAACGCAGTTATACGCGTACGTACTTACGAACGAGGCATACACACACATACACGCCTGCTGACCTATACTTACGATTGCGCGCGTATTGGTGGAAAAGGCGTTATTTATGTCCTCTTTGTCGGGCCATCGATAACCGCTGTAGAGAACTGTGGCGTGGCCTAGTGCAGGCCCGTGTCGGTGTATACGCACATAAATAATGCGAGCGCAATTTCCCATGTAATTGATGGGGTACCCCCACCCGGTACCCCCAGCTTCCCTTCCCTTTTCATAATGGTGAGTGAACTGAGCTCTGGATGTTAGCCACAGAGCACCCTGTGGGGCGTAAACTCGACAATGCCTTCGTCACGCCGCGCATTGTTTGCCACCGCCGAGAGTTCACTCTCCGGGGTTGATTTACTGTCCTGGAGTTCGCTCACGAGCCACCCGACGCGGCACCCGACCCCGCAAAGAGCGTGTACCGAAATTTTCGTCGAAAGATCGTCGCTCTTCTGTCATCCCGGCTTCCCAACCCCCTGCCTCCTCTACGTTTTCTTCGCGCCAGTCTCCTCCGCCGCTGAAAGATGACTTTGCTCGACGCTCCGCTACCGACCATTACAAGCAACCGCTCTTTATCCACGTTTTCCTTACGTCCACGCTGCTAACTTCGGACCCTCGGACCTTCGGTTGCCAGCTTTCCGGGAACAAAGTTTACACGGTGAGCCACATATTTCCAACGTGAACACGTATGGAATTAACCAGTGGTACCACCACAGTGGACTCGCAAGACCAATCTATCATTTCTTCACGGTGGTTTCTCGCAGATTTGTTGAATTATAAATTCTTTCCTATTGTACTCTAATTTTTCTGACAGAATGTTGGTACTTCGGTCGTCGGTAGTTCTAACTCTAAGAAATTAATAGGATGGTTCTACATATTTATATTGTTCATATGCTCACGTATGCGCAGAACGTAACGTAAACATTCGTTCCGAATAATAAATTCACCACTCCAAATATGCACAACTTTGTAAATTTCTGTCGTGAAGAAATTGATCCCCGAATTGATTTTTAATAATAATATTACTCGATAATATCTACTAATATTTTAGCTATCTAGGATTATATGCATGTCCATATTTTACGTAAGAAACATCGCATGATCTACGACCTTATATACGTTACGTGCCTCGTGTAATTCACACGACCAGTAGAATTTACCAACTTCACCAACTAAAGTATTTAAGAATCAGCCGTGTACAGTCGAGCTATGCTTGCTAGTTTACATCACGAGGTTCTAAAGACGGAATTTCGTATTCTTAATCACCAACGTGGCGTTGTTAAAATAAGCTTCGAGTCTGCAGCTTGGGAAAAACTCGAGACAGCAGACCTAAACAAATGCACGTGACCGTCTCATAGGATGGGATTGCGCTGCGAATTAGAAATCTTACCGTGTAGGAACGTAGTCGTTGCAGGAACCATAAAATAATGGTACCGAGGATCTAGAGGATCGACCAATGGCAGCTAATAGCTGCAGCTGCTGCAATCGGGCATGTGAACATTTTGTTTATGTCCACTGCCTCGTCTCGTTGCATAGACTGCAGTTTTTATGACTTGAATCTCAAAGCGTTCAGTTGTGAAAGTTGAAGTCAACCCTTTAATGATGATTATGAAACAATATCATGGGCTATTAAATGTTACACATGTCAATGTGACAGTGGCATATCACTCGCAGAATCTTGAAAGCTCTGAGAACTAAGCCTTGAATGTTCGCGAGTTTGAGTTAACCTTAAAAACTCGCAAGGTTCATGCATCATATATCGTCTCTGTTTTCCTGCTCTTCGTTGCATCCTCGCGCGTTCCGTAAAAATATAAGACGCGCAACCGTGGTTTCCAAGCACGCTGGCGATAAAAGAGGTAATAGCGGCTCGATAATTGCGATCCGCTTGCTAAAATGGGAGCCGCAGTAACAGCAAAGCGTTCCGCGCGCGATAGCAGTTACCGACTCCGTAGTATCCAATACGGTGTCGGTGGGATTGGCGTTGCTTGTTTAGGACAGTGCGCGCACAGAAGTTTGACTTTCTGTAGGGTGGGCACTTGCTGATTGTCAGCTCTCTCCCTCCCAGCGAAACACTAATGGAGAACGTATATAGATTGGGAGGACACTTAGCGGAGTTAGCGCCTGTGGCTACTTTATTTACGCCATACACATGTCGACACCGGCGACAGTCCTATGTATACAGTAGCATTCGCTGTTAACCAGCTACGCAAACGTTATCTGTACAGTTGGTATTTATGGACGGGCTCTCCTTCGGTGTTTACGATCTTAATTATTCATTGCTAAACTGACATCAGCTCTGTCAGTTCGAAACGCACCGGGCTACCGTACCTCTTTGTCTAAGGAAACAACTTTAACCACTTAACGCTTCCCGATCGGAATATGATTGCTCTGTGCCTCGAGAAGGAGAGAGGAGGGGGCCATTTGACAACAGAAATGTTACAATACATCACGAATTCCAATATTCTTATTATGTCTCTTCCCATGTTTCATTTCCTTTCACGTTTTATTTCTATTCCAATTTGATTTAAAGAAAAAGATATAAATATTTTAAGAGTTGTTCATTCCTTGGTGTAATTTTCAATAAAAGCTTCATGTTTTTGTTACGATTGACAAATTAATTCAGAAGTTTCTAATTCTTCTGCATGTTTCGAGCTTCAGGTTCATTTTTAACAAACAGCTGTAATAAAACAAACAGTTTTAACAAACATGCTTCGTAAAATCGCCTTTCCAATGTGGCTAGTAACACTAAATCACTCTCCTGAATCTTCAACTATCTAATTATTAGCTATTACTATTAGATCTTTGTATGTACCAGAATGTTCTAAATTATTGCAATATAAAGTGATTATGAACATCTTTGATTTAATCTTAACCTATACAATTAATACATATTGATGTTTGATTTAATCTTAACCTATACAATTAATAGATATTGATAAAAAAAGAAATAGTTACCATTAGCTGTTCTTTTTGTCAATATCCATCAATTGTACAAGTTACAATCCTCTATGGGCCCGTGTAACTTTCAAGTCACATACCAATATATCGATATTTTATTAAATAACTGAACTTTTTTCCACAAGATGATGTATATGTCTTGTTGTACAATATCTCCTTATTATCCAGTAACATTCTTGATAACAGTTATCACCTCTACTTTGAAATGTCAAAGTAATTGCTTTTGCAAGTTGTCTCTTGCTGCTGAATTCATTGTTAATCTGTATTTATAGGTTGATTTGTTGATTTTACGTTACATAAATTTTTTTATAATCAAGAAAAATACTCACCCCTATAGGGAGGGTTAAGATTAAATCAAAGATGTTTGTTATCACTTTATACTGCAATAACTTACAGCATGCTGGTGTAACGAGGATTTCTATAATTTCTATAATTGACATTGCATGAAATCTGAGAAATTATATCTATATATGTATCACAAACGTATACTCGATGAAAACCAATCTTAATCATTAGCATACAGAGGCTTCTTGGTAGTCGCTGAACTCGTCGCGAAACGTCAAATACCGGATAGATTCTGAAAGTTCATTGTTACAAAATGAAAATTCGTCGCAGCTGAATGGAAAAAAGAGTGGAACATACATACATATATCTCGCGTATGTATATATATATATCGTCGATCTTGATCAATCAAGAGCCGGTAGTGGATGCCCGCACAATATAGTAAAAGGGATCGAGATGGATATTGGATTGCACGATGAAAGCAGCTCGTTAAATTAGTTTCTAATCTGTCCGATCTCTGAAAGGAGCGAGTTCCAGGCTTCGTTCTCTTCGTGCGTCTAATCATTAATCTCTGCCAACAGATGTGCCGCCGTCATTGATTTAAATCACCGGTACGTTGGTTAACCCTTCCTAATCTAGTCTACCCGTCTGGACTGGCTTAATGTTTGATCCGATTGCCGGGACGACATAACAAGATAACATATATCTATCCGCGCGTACACAGAAGTGGAAACAACGTGTTCCGCGTTCCAACTTGAGACCAGTTCGAGAGGAAATCGCGAAGAACTAGACTTCGTCCCCGGCGCTGCCAACTTTCTTTTAGTAATTTTTTTTTTTTTTTTAAATCAACTCTTGAGCACCGTGGATTGGAGACATCTGGCAATTTCCATTCCATTTTTTTTTCTCTCTTTCTACGTTGTTTCATATATTCCAACGTGTGCATGCATTAGGTAAATAGGGATTATTTATTATTACTTTATTTTCTATGCATTTGTGGGAAATTTTGAATTGCAAATTTGCAATGCCAAAGAACGTATATCAAAAGTATGTTTTAGAGCCTAGTTATAATAACATGTACTCTGTTTCCTCATATTTTATGTATTTTTGCGTATTACTTACATTTTCTACATTTTTGTTCTCTGGTATATGATAAAAATTCGCAGTCTAGTGATAATATGATGAATACTATCCTGACTGTGACACTTTATACAGATAGTACAATAGAATTATATGAACAAATCTTTTTATATAATTGCTATACAATAGAAATCAACTTGACGATAAGTCTCACTTTTACTAGTAATTTTTCGTTCATATATTAATTCTATTTAAAATAAATTCAATTAATAAATAATTCTATTAATAAATAATAATAAATAATTAATAAATAATAATTCAATTAATAAATAATTCTAATAAATAATTCTATTTAAAATAAATTCAATAAATTAAATTCTATTAAAATAAAACAAGAGTTCATTTGATCAGATATTAACTAAAATTTGGTTCGTGCAAACGGAGTTTTATTGTAACAGAAGCGATTCTCCCTTCTATCAGTGACTTTTCGTTCATATGGTGGGAGTTTAGTTTCAAATAAATGAATACAGTCAGCGAGAGTTCATCTAATCTTAATGATCTGATTAAAATCTGATTTAAATATACGAAGCCTATATAAACGGAGTTTCGTGTAAATTTCAATGTATGTAGTACAATAGATACTCAGATGTATCTACGAGCTGATTTTTATGCTATCAACTCTTATTATTGAAAAAAAAAAAAAAAGCTAAAATTATCCGAACGAGGTTAATATTTATTTATTT